TTATTTTTAGAGAGAGCAATGGTCTCTCTTGCTTTTTTTATCCATGGGTGAGCAAAATTTCACAATATCCTAATCGCTTCAACAAATGTTATTTTGTCATAGGCCAAAAGATGTTTGAATTCCACTGAAGAGTCGTTCAAAGGACTGGTTGTTCTTGTAAAAATAATAAAGATCTGGGGTTTTATGTGATTACTTTTAATGAAGAATGAGAGGCAACATACAGAAATTGTGATATACATAGTTTATTAACTATGAGTCATCTTTTGCTTAATCAGATACTGTAAATAAAATTACGAGTTCTTGGTTGTTTGTCCAAATACTGTGTACAGGATCTTGCATCTTAGGAAGATACAATCTCTGTTCTTACCTTTTTAAGCCCTGGAAAAACATATTGGTGTGTCATCTTGTAAAGAAGAAGAGAACAGCAGGTATTTTCACAATGTCTGTTCTTGGGAAGCAAGAAGAATCTAGGACATTGAGCAACAGCGATGGTTAACTAGAGATTTAGGCTAACGATCACTTTACTCTCAGTGGCAAGCAAGCTGTTTCATTGTCACACACTTATTTTTTTTTCCACATATTGAAAAATTAAAACGTAAGCTAGTTTACTGCTGCCCTGTAGGTTGTCTTGTGACAGCAGTACAAAGCATAAAATGTCACCAAGTCAGAATGGTAGTATGTTATGCTCAGTTTTTTTGGGAAGAAAATAACAATACAGTATTCAGTGCCACACTGATAAAGGCCCTGACATTAGATTTTTGGTTCTAAATAATGTTTTTGTCACAAATTCAGAGGGTTGCACTGGATTTACCCCACAATTCTTTGTGCATAATCTATATGTTTGCTGTAAGGTAGTTCTAGTTGCTAAATTATGTGTTATTTCTGAGAGAGAGTTGCACCCTACTGGTCCAGTCTAGTTTAAATTCTTAAAAGGCTGTTGATGTGTCATTATTTTCCATTTAGTGTAGTCTCATGCTTTCTGTAACACTAAAGAAGTCTACTCAGCAGGAATTCAGGAAGGCAAGGAACTGAATTGTGATCCAAGATCTTTTTAAACCACCATGAATGAATACTCCATTTTTCTTAACTTGGTTTTTTCTACCATAGGTCTCAACAAGTGGCAGCATATTACATCAGACAGTGACGAGTCCTGCTGCTCCCTAACAGTGTCTGACAGACCACTGTGGATTCAGATTGGGGGTATTGAAGTTAACAGTGAAATTGGCAGGTCTGTCTGTTTTAAGCCCAGCCTAAAATGAAGAGGGGCATTATGTTATCAATCAGTCATCCCCAAAGGAGGTTAGGTTAGAGCTGATAAATTAGCAATTACTTTATTTCCTGCTTTCATTTCAACTTTGTGCACCTGTACCTCAGCGTACATTTTAGTTGTGTTCCTTGACCCTAACCTGGTAATAAGGTTTACGTGTATTTTCTTGAATAAATTAAAACTCACTTTTTTCAGATTGGCTTCTGAAATGTTGCACTATACAAGCACATTAAATAATGACAGAGGCCCTAATAAAGGTCAAAATGTATTGGTATATTCTAAGCTAGATAGTCTCAAGCTTTTCATTGGGTGAACCACATCTTAATAGAAATTGCCTGTGGACAGCTCCCTTTCCAATTTAACTACATGGAATCTTCCCCCGGCCACTGGTACCTGCAACTAAGTAGCCAGAAACGAGAATTAAAACCATGTGACCAGATAGGTCTCAGCAGGCCACCAAAAAGTGGTCCACGGACCACAGTTTGGAAACCACTTCTCTAAGAAAATGGTTGTTACTTTAAAGATTGAGTATTTTTTTAAATTCCTAGGATCTTAATCCTTGAAAGAGTCAAGCTAGCATGCAAGGCATGTGCTTAAATTTGAACACATGCTTAAATCCCATTGAAGCTTAATCTAAGCAAGTGCTTAACTGTTTCCTTTAATTAGGGTTTAAATTGGTATTCATACCTTCTGTTTGATAGAGGAGCATGCAAACTTTATATATTTTTTCTATGCATTTTTAAGGTAGGGTTGAAAATCTTTGCCTTGTATGTACAGGGCTTATTTTGTCATGAGAAAAAAAAAAGATTCTGGTTCTGTCTTTGGCCTGTAGACTTGAAGCAGCTTGATCCAGTATTATTCCATTGTGCTAGGTCTAGCAAGTTGGATATGCTTTGGTAATTTATAATGTAAGAAATATGTGCCGTGTGCTGGTTCTACAGAAGATTTTGGACTATCCCCAAGGATGTGAGACAACTGATACTTTGTGGGTTGCTGGAGATGGTATGTCAGCTCTGACAAAAGAAGATTTCCACTCTTTAGTGAGGGTGTTCTGAGTCCCGCATTGGCGAGCCCCAAAATGTTAGGAAGATACTCTGTTAGCTGACTTGCACTGTAGAATAAGCTCCATGTATTTCTGAGTAAGTGAAGGCAAGTGTTTGTGAATGTATCACCTGGGATGCTGGAAAGTCAGGTGCAAAAGGTAAAATGCTTGTTTAAGGTTCAAAATGCTGTGTGTTTATCGTGGTTTTATGTGCAGCACATGGCCTTAAACTTCAATTACAATTGCTAGTTACATTAAAAGCCGGTGGAAGACCATATGGTCTATTAACACCATCTGCCCACTACTTTAGACAAACAAAATGTTAGTGTACAGCATAGAAATTGTGGGCCTAATTCTACCATTGTTATTCCTGTGCAGTGCTCCTGAAGTTCACTGAGTGAGAGCGGTTGTGTTAGTGAGGTTTGAATTTGGAACTTGAACTTTTTAGTTGCTTGTTGTATGCTAAATTGACAGAAACAGCCCTTGCCAAACTTAGATGTTTGCACATCTTGGATAAAACTTTAATTTTGCCCTATAGGATTTTTATATTTGTGACAAGATTTTTGTCCCTATAGCGCACATGATATGGAATATTCCATCAGGAAGAGTTTCTGCACACAGTGATGCTTTTGTTATCCCAGGCTTTCTTTTACAGGCCATCATAATGTCAAAGCTCAGCCAGCCACAGAAGTGCAAAGCCAGTATCGGCAACCTGCCACATTTGGGGCAACCTGCCACATTTGGGGGATATTGTAGTCTATTTCAGCATTTTTGGGGAAGCAAATGTAATTCTTTTTCTTTAAACTTTGTGCACAGTATTCAGCCTAGTGACCTCCACCAACAGTAAATGTTATTTCATTGGAACTGCAAAGTACGTTTTGCAGAAATCAGCACTTTGCTCCCTATCTGTAGCTTTGGCATCCTTTTCTTTGTAGAGGTTTTGCACATTCAGCTCATTCATCTTGAATGAGCACATAGTTAGAAATGGTTGCAGTCTTCCTGCAAGAAGACTGAGACTACTTCCGCAGCTGAGGTGATATTAAGGGTTAACTGATCCCACACATGATTTTTAGCTAGAATGCCAAGATACAGCGTATATCTCTGCACAGAAATTCTGCAACCTGTGTCCTCTCCTTTGGATCTGAACATTCCCGAACTCCTACTCTCAGCTTCTTCTATTGCAGGACAGGGTGTAGGACAGAATGAACGGTTTTGTCAGTGTTTCATGTTGTTGTTTCATGGCACAATAAGCGACTTCAAACTGAAAAATTCCTCGGTATACACCCCTTGCCCCCTCCTGTGTCAGGATCATTGTCCTTTTGTTTTTCATCTTTCCTTTCCCATCCCACCCCCTATGTATCTAGTGATTTATCAGGCTCCCCTCCCCCACTGCTAACTTTTAAGCCCATTCCTCTGTCTTCTCTGAAGAGTTGCATCTTTTTAGTCAGAGCCTCAGGATTTAGGCCCCCCCATGGTCTTTTCTGTTAATCAGGTGGTATTGTTTAAGGCATTCCTTTTGGAGGTAGTGGGAAATGTATATAAAACAATTCTCAAAGTCTGAGGGAGTTCCTGCAAGATCAGAAAGATAAATCAGTACAACTGAGCTGGTTTTGTTGGACCCTCCCTCCTCCTATTTGCATCTCTTGGCAAATCAATCCATGATACACCACTGTAACTCTCTGAATAATAAGCTACTGTTGATGGCTTTGTAGAAGAACTGTTAATTACCTGGACTGTTCCTATCTGCTTGCCATTCTCTTATTAGTATCATTTGAGGCAAGCACAGATAATAAGCCAAGCAGTGACTGAAAGGAAATATGTCAGCAGCTTTCTTTTTGCTGTTCCATTGTCCTCTGTAGCTGTAGCACATATTCAAAGTACAAACTGTGTTGGTACTTTTAGTTATTGATGTGTTACATGGTTATAGAGGTTTTGCATATTAATCATTCCTATTTAACTACCTCTGGAAATGTAAATGAACTCTTGGTGCTGCAGTTTGGTGAGATTTAAAATGGGGCCAGGAAGGCAGGTTCTGCTTCACTCCAAGCTGCAAGGAACTTGTTCAGTTTAATATGCCTTATAACAATGTTAAGGTTGTTTTTACCTTCTCATGTGTAGAATAGATCAAACTTAGCAGGTGAACTGACAACTGTTTTGGCCACCTCACATTTTGTTTGTTGGTTCTTGCAGTACCAGCAAAGAAGTTTAACCATTTTTCCTTTCTCTTACCTTTTCAGCTCAGAGGCATTAGCCAACTGCTGGTTTTATGGAACGTCATTACACTGCCACGAAGAGCACCAGCTCATCAGGACTGACAGAAATTTGAGACTGAATTGTTATAGTTTTCTTCTGAAATCTTTACCAAGTAGTAAATGTTTGGGAAGGGCTCATGTCAAGTACCCTCCCAACTCACCCTGCTGTGAGGGCACCTGTATCTATTGTACATTTTCTTTGGAATTTAAAAAAAGATGCATTAGGACATATTTTATAAAACTTTTCTGCAATAAATGATGCATGAGATGAGGAGCGACTGTATGAAGTGTACGTGCAAGGAACCACTTGAATTATAGTATGAAGAATCACTGCAAATAACTGGTATTTTTTAATGCGACAGTCACATTGATGTTTGACAGGCCCCAGTGATGGAGCCAATTGCCTGGAAATTTACTGTAACCTTTGTTTTAACTCTTCAACTTTCGCGTTGCATTTTCCATTCTACAAGGCTTAGTTAGTATTAGTGCAGGTGTTAGCAGAGCTGTGGCCTGTGATTAAAAGCATGTCCAAAACCAGCTGTATTGTAAAATATGAACAGTCCTGCTATGAGACCAGTGTTTCCTATAGAGATGGTGGGCAGGATGACAACAGCAACTTCCATGTATCTCTAAATTATGGGAAAATTGCTTCCCTGTGAATATGGTTGTAGTTTCTTTATGCTAATATAACATTTTGGGAATTGACAATTGTTGGAAATATATCATGAAAGGGCTACATCACTGATAGTATATAGTCAGTTAGATTTGCTTATGATAGTGTAACAATACAGAGCCAAGAATGGATACTGCTTAGATGAGAGGCCAGTCATTTGCCAAGTAATGAGTTTATTTCATCTTCCTGCACAAAATTTTTCTCATACAGGTAGCTGGTATACCAAGGGTTTCCATTAGGATTTCTTGTGGTAGTTGATCTGCATAGCATTGACTACTTTGAATATCCTCATGTTGAAATGAGAACACGTAATCCTTTATCCTTTTTGCAAAAGTTGTTTGGTAACAATTATGTCAGCTGAAGCTACTGAGTGCTGAGAACAATGCTGAAATATTGGCTTGCCAGATAATTTATTTGCTACTGATTTGTGTGCACATTTTCTTGACAGAATAGCGCTTAAAATTCTTCTTAATGTTAGTGAGGGGTTCACGGGATACCAAAGTTGGAAAGTACATATTTGTTTTGGAGAAGAGAAAATGCACACATAATATTAAGACCTAATAAAGTACAAGTTCCTGTTTCCATGGAAAAGCAAAGTCTTGTACTAACCTCTCTTCCTACTTTGTGTTTTGATCTCACTGGGGAATGTAAAATATCTTTGTCCAGGGGATTTGAAGAGAGAGCACCTTTCTTGATAGGTATGTCATCTAGCACAAAGAGGATTTTACAACCTCCATGAAAAGGGCATGAATTAAATACATTAGTTAAACACAGTACCCATAATTGTATATAATTTCTCTTGGCTTTAGTATTTGGCAATACAACAAATTCATATTTTTAATGGAATGGGGGCATAATAATCCAGATCCATAAATACTATATTGGTGGTACATATGACCTAAAACAGTTTTATATTAGAGGTTTAGAACTTTTTCTAGTTCTATTAGCAGTGACTGCTAAATTTATTTATTAAAAACAAACTGAAACCATATCATCTAATATTTTTCAAAAAAACTATGTTAGTTCCATGTTCAAGCTGTGTACCACTTTTCAAGTTGTGCCACTTCTCATAATAAACTGCAGATTAATTTTTAAATTGAGATTAGTCATTATTGCTCTGCAGTATTCTGCCTTTCTGATGTAGTCAAAACAGAGGGTCAGCAGTCTAGACCTGCACCACAGCCTGAAATTTGACTCAGAGTTATTATAAATTAAGGCAACTTGCTCTTTGAGAGAGAGAGAGGGAAAGGTGGTACAGTGAGCTACTGTGCTATCCTTTTACCTCTGGAGAGCAAAAGATGATTGTATTACAGATGAATGAGGATCTCATCCCTATTAAAGGAATCACTTTTATCTTCTTTTTCTTTTTTTTAAAAAGACAACATGGCACAATTTCTGCTCAGGAAAAAGGCCCAGGACTGTAATGGCAGGGTTATTGCATGTTGGGATTGAAAAATGATTGATGTTATTTATGAAAGCCAGTAGTGCCTGCCTATCTGATTCTTAACCAGTGTTCTTATTCCCTCATCTTCAAGAGCGCTGGCACACACTACTTAAAATGTACAAAATGTTTGAGAGAGAGAGGTGCAGGTCTCTGCATTTGAAAATATGGGTAAACTAAGCAAATAGCATAAAAATAGACTAGGTAGCTAACCATATTTGCTCATGAAAAATGAGTTTATTTTCACGGGAAGTATTGTAGTCATTTTGTTTGAAACCAGATTTTCATTTTGAAATGAAATTGTCAGGGATATTTTAATGATACAGAATTACAGTAATGTATTGCTTTTTACTTTTTGGCTTTAGTTGCTTAATATTTAAGCTTTGCTCCATGCTACCTTTTTGTCTGTATATTGAATGGTCACTATGCCTCCTTCATTTTGTAGACTTGAATGAGGAAAAAAATATGATTCCCCTTTAAGGTTTGCTCAAGAAGTAAGTGTTAAAGAATGTTGTGTAACATTTATTCAAATAAAGCCTTGATTTTTTTCAGCACTTTTTAAAGGGTAGTTGTGTTGAAAACATTTATCTGCTGTTATATTCCACCACCCGTCTCCTTAACCTCATTGATTGAATCTCACATCTTTATATTTTCTGAATTGATGCAAGGGTGAAACCTAGGATACAGCTCTGCTGCTCTGAGCGCAGACAGACTAGGCTAATGCTGTGCAACCTTGAATTCAAGCTATTGTGGCTAAAATGTGTTAAGTGTTCCTTGACCAACTGGAAACTTTCCAGAAGAAATGAGAACACCCCTACCCCTTCATAATAACAAGGAAAGAGATGGCAGACCATGAAGAAGCAAATATAAAAGAAAAAAAAAAGAGGATGGCTCTGCTTCATAGCTGCAGTGAAGGAGCACTGGTAGCAGCTCAGGAAGGGAAATACTCAGTGGTCATTGGGGATTGGTGCAACAGAGGTTCTGCTCTGTGCCTCTGGCATTGCTACAGATATAGAAAGTGGTGTAAGAGCTCTGTGCACTCAGGAATTGCATCTTCTGGTGGCTAGCTAAAGTCTGTGGTTCCACTTTGGGAGAGTGGCACAAAGCACCTGGGACACCAGGAAGAGCTGGGCTTTGAACTCAAGCTCTGCATGTTGATCTATCACTGGGATCCCACTATGACTGTTTTTTGTTTGTGATAGTAATGACTTCAGACGCATGCATCCAACCCAGGTAAGTGTTATGGAATATTTCTCCATTTAAATAGAAAACTGAGTTGCATTCGCTCATAATTTTGCCCTAAAGGGAGGAAAACATGGTACATTGCCATGGATAAAGAGCACAGAATCTCTAGTACTAGGGTCAAAGTAGGGTCAGGTTGCTGCATATTTCTACAATTGGTAGCATCCATGCTGCATTGCCTGGTAAAAACAAAAAAAATTGCTACTTTCAGTTTCTACAAATGAAGTCTGCCATTGTGAACGAAAGAATGTCCCAATTTAATCTAAGTGTCCGAGTTTATCAAATATAAGCAGGCTTTTTAGAGAAGTCCCTACTGTGTTCAGAAATATTTATTAAGCATGCTAATCCTGAATGAGCACATCCCTCTTTATGCTATGGACAGAAGTGGAACATAAACTGCTTTGTCATCAAAAACTGGTTTAAACCTGTAACAGAACAGAAGTTTAGTGCACATAAACCAGTTTCAAAATGGCTGAAACTGGTTTAAGATAACCCTGTTTGAATGTAGTGTCAGACTTAACTGATTTGTGTCAAACCGGTTTAGGAAACTTCTGTCCTAGACCCCTTTCTTGTTCAAGTTAAATCAGCCCCCCAGCATGCTTTCCAGCCCTGGGCTGGGCTGTGCTGTTTGCTCCAGAAAGCAGGGATGGCCTCACCCCTCTGCTCCCTAGGCTGGAACAGTAAGGGCTGGCTGACAGAGGAGGGGAGGGGAGGGGGGACAAGCCCACCTGGGGTTGCAGCCCAGTCTATGGGGAGGGGGAACTGCTCCCCCCAGCACACCCCAGCTGGAGCCTGGGGTTGGGGGCGGGGGGCAGTTAAACACCCCTTCCCCTGCTCAAACTTACTGCTGGCTTCAACTGTAAACTACAAATCCTAGAGGCACCTGGAAGCAGGAAGAGGAAGTTATGAGCAATCCTGCAGAGTCCTGCTGTTTGTAATTCTGGACTGCAAATCCCTGAGACCTCTGGGGCAGCAGGACGAGGAAGTAAACACACAGACAAACAGCCATGCTCTGGCACCCCCCAGCTTCTGGTCTTAGCCGCTGTAGGCATGTGGCTGCATTTCGTGAATCAAAGGTAAATGTCTGTTCATTTCCGTTTCAATTTAATCTGTGCAGTTTAGAATAACCAGCAAAGACTGAACTGATTCAGCCTCCAGGCTTTTTGACTGTCTGTACCTAGCCTTTAGGTTGCGTATGATTTGCCTGAAGGCAGTACTAAAGCAACCGACCTATTGTGCAGTAGTATGTAGCTGGTAACTTGATGGGAGTGGAGTTGAACCAAGCACCTTTGCTAGGTACTAACCTTATTTGTTGGAGTTAAATGATAGTGCTGATGTACCCAATCTGGAATAAAGATACTTGGCATCTACTTCCCTTCATTTTATCATGACCATTTTCTTGCTCACTTTTATTTTGAAGCCCATCAGTGCTTCTCCACCCATGTCTCTTGTTTGGTAGCAGGTGCCTTTTCCTTTATGTATGAAAAATGTCAAAGTTCTGTTTTGAGGAACTCCAGTCTTCCTCCTCTTCCTCATTAGTCATTCATTCTTGCAGCAGTCCTTCCTAAATTGGCTGGCCTCATTAGGCTTATGGTAGAGAGGGGAAATCCTACTCAAATGTAATTGCTCACTAATAACTTCTGGTCTATGACATTGTGTCTGTAGCTTCTCATCATGGGAATCACCTGATTTTGCTATGTGGGTATGGAGCCCATGAGAGTGGTTAACTACACATATTTCATGGAAGTCTACAGTTGTTATACTGATTAATCTTTACTACAGCAGCACCATAATGAAGGTATAAAAGTAACACCATCCCTGCCAATGTTGAAATCTCCCAGACCTTTGCATTCAAGAATGCTAAGTGTTTACTGCTCCCTTAAGCATCAGCAAGGTGATACTTAATAAGGGCAAAGTCATGTGTGTAACAGCTGCTTAATGCACAACCTGAGGTAGGAAGATTTTATTTCTGGCTGTCTGAAAGGTGGGAAGCAAGTTGGAGGAAGTAAAATGTACTCTCAGGTACAGTGTGTAGTGGGGAAAGAAAGAAGGACTGGTTCTATTCTGGACCAGTCCTAGGGAAACAAGCAACAGTGATAGAAAGAATAAGGCTATTGCATGAGTGCTGTGCTCCCAAATTCCAGTTCATCCAAGTAAATATCTAGGCAAGAATTGCAGAGTGGAAGTCTTCTCCCAGAACCTCACAGGAGACCAATGAGGTGTAAAAGCTTTGCTTTACTTTTATGCATCCCTTAATTGGGGCTGGGCTGGTTTCTCAGTGTAAGTTAGTCTTCTAGCTGCCAACTGCTCCCTGGCAGCTGTTTATGCAGACTGGGGACTGCAGCGAGATATAAAGGCCATTTTGGCAATTCCTTTTCCTTAGCTATGCTCTCTGAAGCAGCACACAAGCTGCTACCTGTACTTTGCTTTGGAAAGAATAGCTTGAGAGTTGTGTGGCAATTCTCCCACGGTTAGTGAGGGTGAATTTGGGGCCAAATGCAACAGAGAACTTGCTCTCTGGCAAAGAACTGCACAATCTGTCAGACAACAAACAAGTGCAGAAGGACACTGAGAATGTCAGCAGCATTGCAAAGCAGTGTCAGCAGAGCCCCAAGCAGCTGCTGGAAAGGTGACAGACCCCTGTGAACACTGCTTGGGTGTTAGCTGCCACTCCTGCTTTTTCTTTTTTTTTATTCCCTTACTCGCTTGCCCTCCCTGAAGCTTTTAAAAATGGATTTGTCAGTCTCCTCCCCACTTATCTCATCAAGCAGGAAGACTGTATGTAATCATGGCTGTTGAAAGGAAGTAAACTGAGAGACACAGTGCACTTGCATGTCACCAGCAAAGGGAGCAAACCGATTTCCTCTTTCAGGCCAAGTGCTGGCAGCTGTAATATCTTAACTGCTTTCTGCAGCCTGCTTTGCAGTTCTGTGCATGCCTGTTCCCTATCCCTTGGGGTTTTAGTTCTCTCATCCTGACTTACTCCCTGCAAAGTCCCAGTCCAACCTGAAATGCAAAGAGTGGTCTCTGCAAGGGACAACTTAAACCTGCAGTGGGGAATGCAGGTGACTGTTTTGTTGTGAGATGAATTGTCACAGCCCAGGATTGGTTGTAATTATGAAATGCAGCTGGGGCTCTGACTTGCGCAGAGGGCTTTGTTTTCAAAATGCAGGCATCTCAGTAGCTCTGATATCTAGCTGCTGCTGCTCTGCCTGCTTGTTGCTAAATCCCCAGTGTTCCTCCAATGAGCTGGACCCAGAGACAAGCAGGGAAAGAAGAAGGAATGGAACAGCATCTAGCATATGACAAAGAAATCACCAGATGTGAATGCAAGCCATCAGCACTATTCAGCTGGCTATAGGCAACCCTTCCCAAAAGTCTCTGGCTTTGCTCTGGCTAGCCATAGGGAATAGGGCAGAAAACTACCCCCTACAGAAGGGGTGGGCAAAATGCAGCCTAGGGGCTAGATGTGGCCTGCCAGGCCATTCTACCCAGCCCATGGGGCCCCTAACAAAATGTAGAAAATTAATATTTATCTGCCCATGGGTGCGTATCATGCAGCCCTCGATGGCTTGCCAAAACTCAGTAAGTGGCCCTCCGCCCAAAATAATTGCCCACCCCTGCCCTACAGTATATGGAATCACTCTGCTGTGCTTTGATCCCCAAATGGTAAATTCCCACTAAAGCTGCATTACTTCATCTGGAGCCATTTGTTGCCAGCAGCGTCTTGAGCACTGAATGGGACAATGAGTAAGGAGTCACAATCCCACCCACAAGTTCCAAACTGGGTGCTGCAGATGCACTGTGAAGAGGTCAGGAGTGCGGCATTATCGAGAGGAGTCACTCCAGCAAAGACAGAGCATTCCACCTCTCCTCTGGATTTGCTCAGAAAACTGCCAGGATCTGAAACAGTTCTGACAGCTCATCCTCAATGCACTAACAAAAACAGTGAAAACATATTCAAATTAACTTGACATCCCCACCCCTTCCCTCAGGGACATTTTGTCACGGGTATCTCAAGCAATGAAACAGACCTGTGCACTGCAGTACCTTCCCAAAGCTTTTCCAGCAGCCAGGCACAAAACCACTGAGTAGACTAGAAAAGACCATCGTTCCTGCCATCTCACTTGATTGATATGTCAATCTGCAGCTAGTGCTTTATATTACTAGCTGTATTACAGAACAGAACTCATCCTCTTACATCCAAAGTCCTGGTTAAAGGACATAGAGCGCTTTATATTCCAATAATGTAAGAAGAAGAAAAGCCTAAACAATGTGAAATATTTAAGGAGGCACAGTTAATGTCTGGGGTGCTGAAAGGCTTATATTATGCAGCTGGCTGTATAATCTTAGTTGTAGGGTGAGAGCCTTACTTAAGTGGGACAAACTATTAGTGTCAAACTAGTCATCTAGTGAAGGGCCTACCATCTCCAGACAGCAAGTAGTATATACTGCTGCTGTTTTCCAGGTCTGCCCTGGAGCAGACTGGATTAATAGCCTTAGTAAAGCCAAGTAAGGGAAACCTACTTCAAGCCCAGTACAACATGTTCAGTTTACTGTGTACCAGCTCTTAATACTCTCTCCCCCACAAAGAACCAACTACTAAAAGAGGGGAAATTAAGCACTGATGCTGCTTCCTAAGGACTCCAGTGCTGAGTTAAAATTAAAAATGGTCAAGGCTTTCGGGTTCAGATGATTACCCCCCAAATGCACACACAATTAGAAATGCCATGTTAATGGTTTTCAGCTGTTTTACATATTTAATCTATGATAGCTTTGCTCTGTCAGGGTAGGCTGTAATGACTCTGATGGCAAAGTGCCACACAAGCAAGAGCCTGACAATTTACAGCATCTCAAGAGGCTGCTTCTTTGACAAGCTAGGCAGTGTCTGAGCTGAAGGAGACACTCCTTAGCAATTTCATGTTAGAGCATGAGATTGCATGGAGTAAAAAAAAAAAAAAAAAAAAAA